AAACGTTGCAAATAAATAACATATTTAGAAAACTTTGTGATTTTTTTACTGATTGTAAACAATTTGTAAAAAATAATATCAAGCAAAATTTTGGATTTATATGATCATTAGTATTGGGAATCTTATACATACTATGAATATAATTCAAAAATTTATTTATGCAAATACTATATTGCAAAATATTTTATGAATCGCGACAGGTTTTTATATAAATAGTGAAAATAAACTTCGAATGCTGAATTTGTAATAATTAATACAAATTAATACCACACACACACGATGGAATTCTTCGGCTTGTACAAGGCCACATTATGTTAAAAAAGTTAATTCTAGTGAATTGAATGTGGGTGGTTACAGTTGCTGTGACATATATTTGTAATAGAAGTAATAAAATAATCGTTTGTCATGGCAATGGGAACTTTTCATGAATTTTATTGGATAATATAAATTATTTCTATTTCCTAAATAATAAATGAAAAACTGATCAGGGAAGATGCAAAAGATATTTAAAGGATTTTGGGCTTCGAAGGAAAAAGTGTAAAGGTATATGAAACCCATCAAGTTTATAATATTGTCAATAATATTGTCATTGCAACCGACGCAGTAAACAGAAGTGTGCAGATGCGTCATTTTTGTCAGGCAATATAAAACTGATATAAAATTTCGGTTAGTTAATTTTAAGTTTTAAATAGTTTATTTTGTTACAAATTCATAAAAATATTTGACACTGTGTAACAATTTTAGTGATTGCTAAATTGTTTAAATATTGTTCTGATTAATGTAAAAAAATCACACCTTGGGTTAGGTATTTTATTTGTATTAATTTAGTTTACATTGATTTATGAAAAAAATTATTTAGAAACAGGTAAATTTTCTCAAAAATGAGTGAATAAATTTACTAAGGTATTGTTGTTACAACTTGTCTTGGTAGATTTTACAATTAGTCCCAAACACGGGGTAAGTTGCAACACAACACTTTTTCTAGAAAATGACTAATTGTGAAATAATGAACAATAGATATCGAATTATTTTAACATGATTTGGTAAAGGAATAATTAAAACAGTGAATCTCAAGATATATCTCTTAAAAAATTGTTAAAAAAAGCTCCTAGCTCCTCTATATTTTTTATTTCTAGTAATTTTGGCATTGCACGTTTTATCAATCTACAAATCAAAATATGCCAAACAAATAATTAATTTCTCATAACACCGATGGACGTAATACAAATACCTTTCTAATCAATAATTAGAAAAGATTAAGTTATCAATATAAACAAAATTTAATTAAAAATTTAAATCAATATATGTAGTTATTTCTCATAATAAATTTTTACGTTCTATTTATATCTAAAGACAATAATAACGTGTCACTCATATTTCTTTGAACGTAATATTGGTGTTTTGTTTGAACAACTTATTACAAAAGGTGTACTAACATATGTAAATTTATGATGAATAATCGGTAAACGATGATTCATATGGATATGTGATTAATACTGAGGTAAAAAAACGTGTTTATATATTTATATTGTCAACTTATCTATTTACACGTCGCATTAATGTGAATAACATTGCAACGTGGACAATCAATAGCTACGTATTAATTTATTTAATAATAAATTCAAATCGGTTGATCTGTGCGCCCGAAAACGTGTACCAAAAATTGTATCCATATATATGTACATACACACACACTCATCCATTTTTTTAAGGTATGCCAAAATGTTCAAAAAACTTCAAAACTTGAAGAAATGCAAAAATTTTCAATTTCGATTTTTTGACGATTACAATAACTACCCTACGGGAAGTAATAAGAATAATAAATAATGGTGATGGAATTTTTGTAATTAGTGTAGCAGTCTTTGAGAAAAAGTCAACAAGAAGTCAAGTTCTTCTCTTTCGGTAATCTCAGTATATACTATGATTAGTACTTTTTTATTCCTATAATCTCGATATGATTTTATATCCCGCATTTAAAAATGCAATGATAATAAAAAGGTAACAATATACGATGTAACAGATATAAATACCTGAAATTGATAACTGTAATGTATGTAAAGACGGTTATGGCTAATTATAGGTTATTAAACGTATTGATAGCAGTATCGAGCTGAAAATTTTAATTTATTTCGTACGGTACTTAAAATCGTTTGATGAAAGGTAGATAAACGATAAATTTTATATATATATATATATATATATATATATATACATATATATATATATATATATATATATATATATATATATATATATATATATGAAAATGACCTTTGAATAGGCATTCATCCAAATAATAGAGAGAAAACTAAATTATGTTCCTACAATTTCCATACGTCTCAATTTTACTCTTCTTCGTCAAGTTTAAAAAAAAACACAAATGCATAAAGAATATCTTAAATCAACGAAATACTTTAATAGCAAATTAATTCATAAAGAATAATTAATTAATATATAAATGTAATTGATAATAAAAATGTAATTAATAATAAAAATGTAATTAAGAATAAAAATGTAATTAATATTACACAACTTTCATTCTGATCGACGAATGCAAAGCAATTTTTTGTCGAATTGTATGGAAGTCTATTATCTTTTTTCCCAAATTTTCTACATAAATCTCTTACATATACGAGGTCTGTTCAAAAAGTACCCGGAATTTTCGTTTTTTCAAAAAAATATTTATTTATTCGTCTACATTAATGTGGTCCCCTTCAAAGTAGTCCCCCCCAGATATAATACACTTATGCCAGCGTTTTTTTCAATTTTCGAAGCACCCTTGATATTCACTTTTTGATATGTCCTTGAGCACTCTCAGCGATTTTCTTCAATCGAGGAAAACCGCCGTCCTTTCATGGGTCTCTTCAACTTTGGGAATAGGAAAAAGTCACACGGAGCCATATCTGGTGAATTTTTGCACTTTGCAACACTTTATTTCATTTTTTACGCAAAATTTAATACAAATTCTTTGACTTTTCAATTCTTCCATTGTAAAAATCGCCGAGCTCAGAAAAACACGTCGAACCTTAGCGACTACCACAGACAAAGTAAACAGTGAGTATAGCTGAAAATTTCATCATACTTTAGGGGCATGTATACCAACACAATAAAAAAAAAATTTGACAATCAGACACTCCAGACCCGCGAAATTTAATTATTAGTAATTCCGGGTACTTTTTGAACAGACCTCGTATGTACATATATTTTATAGATTTTGCCTATAATTTTGTGTTATTAATAGTTAATATAATATACATTAATAATAATAAATAAGAGGGCCTAAGCCACGATGCAAAAACTTCATATAAGATCTGTATTTTCAAGCGTTGGGCTCCAAAGGCATTAAATCAATTTGTATCTATATGCCTGAAAATTCTATTACATATGTATTAATATTTCATGCGAGCCGATATATAATTATATGTCATCATAATCATTATAAAATATATTTGTAATTATTATTATTTAGCCATTTCCTCAGGCTATCAAATTTATTATAATGAATATGAAAGCCTTAAGGCTAAATGCGAGAACTTCCTATTAGATTCTTATTAGATCTGTCTCCCAGCCCTAAAGAAAATAATTTATAAATGGAATCTATATAGCTGAAATAGTCTTTTTGCTTTGAGTTATTTAATTAATTATAGGTGATAAACAAATACCAATTTTGAAAAAATAAGAAATTTACTTTTCTCGAGTCAGCAAACCAATTTGTAAAGTTTAAAACTAATGTATGGGCACAACATTTTTAGAAAGTTAATGTGAAAATGGTTGGAAAACATTGTGTATTAGATAAATTAAAATTAAAATTTCGCAAACCCGAAAAATAAAACTCGGATGTAAATTACATCCGTTTATTATTATTCATTACTATTTGTCATCAACAAAGAGTTCGTTTTTTATTGAGGTCACTAACAATAAATTTTACTATGTTTTTTCGCATTTATTGTCTGTTGTTGGCAAATATTTAAATTATGGAATTGTAAAAATTACATGACTAGAACAGCAATAAAAATAAATTGAGAACAATTGATAATAGCAATTTTCAAAATTTCATTTAGGTCAGCGACAAAAATGTAATCGAATATGAATTACATCTGATTTTTATTATCCTTTGCATTTTCCATATAAAAAAATCATAAATTGAGGTCACTGATAATAATTTGTTAATTAATTTTTGTTAGCAAATATTCAATTTATGGCTTTTTAGAAAAATAGTATGAGTAAAACAGTAATAAAAATAATTTGAGAACAAATGATAATTGGTAATTATCAAAATTAACATTTTTTTGTTCAATAGATATTTACTGTACCATACGATAGTAAACCAAAACCAAAATTTCAAAGAATTTTTGGCTACATCACAGAATTCACACCTCAAATTAAAAAAAATATGCATATACTGCAATAAAAATTAATAAAGTAGTTTATGTGCCCATCCTTTAAAAAATAAATTAAAAAAAACTTGAGGACATGTTAGGGTCTATTAAACAACTAGTAGTGTATGGCATCGTGCCTTAAGGCAAATTGCTGGAACTTGCTTTTTTGGGCAATAAATATTTATTGTATCGTATGAAAACCAAAACCAAACTTGGGGTCATGTTGGGGTCTATTTAAAAAAAAAACTTGAGGTCATGTTAAGCCATAGGGTTCACAACTAATTAATATTATTATATAACAAAAAAGCTTAATACCTAATAGATATTGCATTAAAGACTACCGCAATATTTCTTTAGGTGGTACGACTTAAGCAACTCTATCCTATTTAAAAAAAAATTTTGAAAAAAAAATATTTGGAATCAACAAGATTTTGTGAACATCTTATATAATATAAGATATCTCCTACAACTATATGCTTGGATCGTCCATGTTGGCCCTTTAATTTTGATCAATTACGATTTTTACATTTCTAAAATTATATGTATCTAAATAGAACATTTGTTATTAATTACTAAAAAAATAAAATCATTAAAATACTAATATATGTCATTTATTTCCAGATTCGAACATTTTTCCAACATTGGCCCTAAAATTCCTCCAAAATGCAGCGCTCTATCCAGAGCCCTGGGCCTCTGACCCCATCCCACATACCTTTGCCGAAATATTCCCTAAATAGAAGCCTTACCTCTAATCTCAACGGAAGCCAACATGAATACATGAATGGTGACAACAATAATACAGAAGCTTCCAGGTGGAAATATAAATATGAAGAAGCAGAAAAGGCTAGGAAGCTGTTGATCACAAAAGCAGAAAGATGTAAGTGAAATACTATATTATATTCTTAAAGAAATTATCATTTATTACCTTACAATTGTTTCGAAAATGCTTTTCCTGTGCGAAAGTAAAAGTGATATTAAAAAGAAAAGTAAAAGTTTCAAACACAATCACTTGTAGTAAAGAATGTCTATATATTTTATGCGAAAAACTAACGCAATTTACGAGCCGATATGCAAATCAGTTTATTTTTAGTTTAATTGTTCCCGAAGAAAGTTGAACGACCAGTTCGCACAAAATTGTGATTGTAAATATCAAAGATGATAGATTTATTATGGAAATAAAAATATTATAAAATATATTTGTTTCAATTTTATTCCTTGTTTTATCATCTCTCTATAGTAGGCAACTATATTTCTATTATTTTCTAACTTCCCGTAGGGTATCTTATAGTAATCACAAAAAAGAAAAAAAATATATATTTGTACGTTTCAAAGGTTTCTGAACATTTTGGGGTACCTTAGGAAAAATGGTTGTATGTGTGTTACAAATCTTTGTCGACGATTTCGGGAACACCGATCAACCGATTTGAATAATGCAAAAAACATTCGATTTGTATTGACAAGATAAAACCCTGATTAATTTCTCAAAAATCTAAGTTTTTCAAAGCTTGGTTTGAATAAATACTTATCCAAAGTCTAGATTAGCCTTAATTTGCAAAATAACCATTTCTATGGTCTTTTAAGAGAGATATGATAACTTTACTAGATAATTTAGTTAAAAATGTATCATGAAAACTTATTGTATCAAAAAAAAAAAAAAAAATTCTTGGAAAAACACTATTTTTCAAGTCACACATACATATATGACTGATATGTCTCTATATTAAAACTTCTTTGTGACCTCCTACCAAATCGCGTATGTCAGACATGGTTCATGTAGGACTTTTTAGCGTCAGACACATATTACTGACAGGATGATTAACGTAAATATTAATCTCCTCTATTATTTTCCTCTCATCGTTTTATAATTTTCCGTTTCATGTCGGCAATGTATTACATTTTGTTTATTAATCAATAAATATTGGAGACAATATCGAGACCTTTACTTCATTAAAAACCTTAGAGCAATAAACTTATGATACACAACTTTCTAAATTGACATTCATAAAAAATCCATTCACACGTTATAGACAAATATGCATATTTAAATAAGCATAAAAAACTGAATTAAAAAATTTAGTGTATAGGAAAAGTTACAAACAAACAGAAAAAAATTCATGTAGAATGCAAAACAGTATGTTTGAGCCTTTTGTGGATTTCGAACTCTGACATTATAAAAATTTAGATTTTTTTCAAGAGAAATTTGGATTTTTGCCAGTGAAGCCAAGTGTGTTATACATGATAAGAGCATATTCTGGCAACATACCATAAAAGCTCTACTATTTTATAATTTCTGCGAACTTCCTCAAAAATCAGTTATAAATTATCACTGAAACTTTGTACATTGTAATAAATTAAATTGTTTTTTTCTCTAGAATTTTTTTTTGCTTTTTTAATCGAAATATAAATCAATTGAAAAAATGTAGTAGGGGGAAGATGGCTACATATGTGGTCAATGCAGGTTATTTTGAAATGTCCGGTACTAGGTGCCACTGTTTAAAATCATATTTTTTGATACCAAAGTTTGATTAATAGTATTAATTATTTTTTAGCAAAGATTGCGGTTTTGTTAATTTAGTTTGATTTCTAACTCTGTTATCTAACATAAATTATAATTTAATAAACATTTCGTAAAATATTGTTTGATTTATTTATAAATAACCTTAGGTGTCCGCCACTTGGGGACTTCCCCCAACTTAATTTTTCATTAATAATTGATTTTCGGCCTCACGCCTAATTCTCAATTTTTTTGTATTTATGTTTAGCTTATGGAAAGAAATTTGTATAGTAGGAAAACATCAGTACGCTTAAGTACTTTGATAATAAAAAACGATTTTATGAAACTTGGATTTTTTCCAATAAAATCTTGTATTTTATACACAATAAAAGCATATTCTGGCGATATACCACATAATTCTACTATTTTATAATTTTTGCATCCTCAATGTTCAGTTGCAAATTATCACAATAGCCTTGTGCTGAATGTTTTCATGCAATAAATTCAAATCCAAGTGCATAAATGCACTTGCCAAGGATGCATTTTAATTCTTATGGTCATCTGTACATTTTTACTCATTTTATTGCACATTGTATTATTTGAGTTTTGGACCAGAAATAAAAGACATAGATGTATACATTTCATTATTTGAACAGAATTTATAATGTTATATTATTTTAACAAAATTTGTGATGATAATGAGTATTAAAATAAATGCACGATTGAAAATTTAAACTTTAATTTATAAAAAAATGAATACAGGACATGGATTTAGTCAAAAAATATATACACCTGATTAATTTATGTACTCTAATTTATGTTTTTAAAAAAAAAATAGATTTTTACTACAACTTTTTAGTTAGAGGTGGTATTAAATTCTTCAAATTCCTAAAAGCCACGATAACAATTTTTTTCAAAAACAATATTATTATTTTTAAAGAATGAATAGAAGTCATGTAATACTCGTAGGCGGCTATAAAATACAAAATTTCCGAAATAAGAAAAAAAAACTAAGTTTCATCCTTTCGTTATAAAGATTCCAAAGTGATTTTGTATAAATATAAGAAATATATTTTCATGATTTTGACATTGATCGTCTCGACGAAGCAAAAAATAAAAACAAGTTGCAACCAATAATTTCCTTATAAGTCTTCATCAGAGGCAGACAACATTCTTTAATTATTCATAAAATAAAAACTGAAGTGACGCAAAAATGTTGTTTTTGTGAAAACAATTTTGCTTTGTAATGATTTTCAATAATTGCATACGAATAAATTAACAATTTATAAGAGAGTTTAATGAAATTATAAAATCTGTAGAATTTGTCTAAATTAAATTTTATTTTGTAACAAAACGCAGTTGTCAAAATTTTACGTGATTAATTGGACAGATATAATTGACAGTTTTTTTTATAAAAATACTTAGTGAACTAATTTTGTCAAAAGTATATCTTGTTCATTTTTTGAAGGCGAACACTCTATTCTACTAATGTATGTATATAAAAATATTTTTTATTCAAAGTTTATAAGAATTGAAATATTTGGATATCAAATTAAATTTGAAAAATATTTTCGAATTTAATATAAACAATTCTCAATGTATTTTACCGAAATTAATGTTAACTTATCGACACCATTGATAACCAATTTCTAATTAAAATTGATTAATTTTGTTGTTAGAAAACCGAAAGTTAAATCTACGTTATACTGATATTACTTATTATTCAATATTAGAAAGAATTAACTATGACCAAAAATTAAAGTAAAAATATTAAAAAAATATTATTACCAATAATGGAAAATTCGATTTTTGGGCTAAGTCAATCACTTTTGTCTAGATTTTTGATTATGATTCATTATTTTAATATCGTTAAATATTTGTTTCGGTTGATTTATAGTTTATAAATATAATTTTGTGTACAGGAAAAGGTTGACTACATTAGATAAAAAAAATTAACACACAAAAAAGCTTATGGTGTTTTTTGTAGGCGTATTTGCAGACGAGATTTTGATGCGTCATATATATCACAGAAGCAAATAGTACAAAAATTGAATTTATAATATTCAAAGGCAAAATGAGGCTGTAAAGTATTATTTGTGATTTAGAATTGGTAATTGACACATTTTAAGAATAGTATATATAATTACGATTTGTTGAAACAAACAAGTTTAGAATCTACTTCGCCTAATTATGTAAGGAAATATATCCTTTAAGTTTACAAATTCCAGCTTTTTAATTAATGAAGATTTACAGACTTTTTCCATATATTTTTTTTAAATAAAAAGGTATATTGAGAAATAATACAAATAAGCGACATAAAAAACAAACATTATGTTCTTGTGATAAATTTATATTTACTAATGATAAATTTATTATGCAAAATGTCTAAAGCCAACAATCAACATTCAGTCAATTCAGTCAGTCAATGTCAAATTTCTATTTTTAATAGAACAAATTCGAAAAGATTGGACAAATTAAAATGTAAAATGATGTTTTAGCCAGTTTTAGCATTGATCATTAGAATAATATACAACTTCAGTATTTATAAGCTGATATATATTTTTTTCAATTTTTTTTTGTAATTTTTTAGCAATTACTTTAGAACGGCTAGATGATGACACGTACTTTGAGCCGAAACGTACAAACTAAATATGTTTTATTACTTATTGTCATTTCATTTGCAAATAAAAAAAATCTCAAGAGACAATCCAGTAAACATATGAGTCACATCTTTATCTCGTTGCAAATTGCATCTTTTTCCATATATGTAAATAAAACGCACATTTTTAAGACTTAACATTTATACCAAAAATAAACAAATAAACTACTTTGTTCGTTTGACATTGGATTAAAATCACCAAGTCCCTTCTCCATGTTAATAACAAAATTGACTTGTATTTCGAAGGCCACCACATGACATATTATCTGTCTTATATATCCTGCTACATTAAACGCAATCCTGCTACATTAAACGCAAAAATGTTGATTTAATGATTCATAAATATTTTGATTTATATGTCTTTGTTCATAAACTAGAAGCAATTTTTTTTGAAGAGACGACCGTGTCTTAATAAGAAAAATGCCTTTTGTTGTTCCAGCACGTAAGCAATAGTTCAACGAGCGTAACTGAACTTCCTGACGAAATAAAAAGCATCTGCCTTTTTCCAGATGTAGAAAAATAGCTTTTGAATTGTCTCGTAATAAAAAATTAAACTCGTTCACTAAGGGTTACACACGTTTCTTTAGAGAGATAGATAGAGAGTCCTCTATTGTCACACTAGGACTAGGCAGTACTCGTAAACTTTCATGAATTTTCTTGTGGATTTTTATCTATTTACATACATTTAGATATACCATTTTAAATATGGTTAAAATAAGTATAATAATTATATTTTTTTTATTCCAGTTGCCAGATCACTAGCAGACCTGGAGAGGAAACATCAGCAATTATCAGACGAATTCACATTAACTAAACACGAGCTGAGGGATAAGGATGCCCAATTGAACTCTTTAAGGACTGTTTCTGAAAAAGTTTACAAGGAATACGAAACACTCAAGAATCAATATGATGTTGAGACCGGAGCAATGCATAAGTAAGGATAATGTAGAATATCTATATTTATATCTATCTCTATTTGTCTATAATATATCTAAAAATTTCTGAGTACGAATAATCAACGATTCCACACAATTTCTCAAACTTTGAAAATAGGAAAATATTATTGGTAGTATTATATATAAGTCATAAGGGGGCGTCTATTAATCATGTGAGGTTTTTAGGGGTAGGGGGAATTAGACAAAAATCACGTGCGAGAGGAAGGGGTCTAGTATATCACGTGTATTTATTTTCTATCTGAATTAAAAAAAAAATCCAAAATTTTACGATTTTTTTGTAAATTCGAAAAATTTGTTCGAAAAATTTTACGCAACTAAGAATACACGTAATGATTGGTGGGTGAGGGGGGTAATTTTGAATATCACTGGTCCAAAAATCTCTAAAAAATCGATCACGTGATTAATGACGCTTCCTAAGTATTCGGCCTAATAAAAATCTATTCTATACATTCACAAATATTTTGGACAAATAAATAAATCCTAATGTCAACTAGAGATTGACCAACAAATGTTCCTAAATTTTTTTCAAATTTTGACAAAATGCTAGCAAAATCATTTTAAGACAAATGAGACGACTTTTTTAAAATAATTTTATGCCATTAGCATTCTTATACTAAAAAATTCATGCTTTGTATATTTTTTTATCCAGATTTTTGTCTGAATGTTGATTATTTTTAACCGCCAAATGGCATTTTTTTCTAACCTTAGGGAAAATTAATGAAACTTAAAGGCAAATCTTCCTGAATTTTTTTCAAATTTTGACAAAATGCTAGCAAAAATATTTTTAAGACAAATCGGAAGACATTTTTGGAATAATTCTGTGGCATTAGCATTCATACTAAAAAATTCATGCTTGGCATATTTTTGATTCAATTTTGTCTGAATGTTGATCATTTTTGACCGCCAAATGGTATTTTTTTCTAATCTTTTTTTTAAATCTCAGAAACCGTGGACCTGTTTTTCAAAAATTTCATCAATTTTTTATTCCATCAATTCAAGTAAAATGTTTTTTGAATTATTCAAATCGGACGCTCCTCTTTCTCAAAAAGTAAAATACCATTTTTTGCACTATTTGCTCCGTTTTTTCGAAACGTCTGGACCTGTCTTGACCAAAAACTAAGTTACTAATTTACAACTACTAATCAGCACGTATCCCCATCAATAAAAGTCGAATGTTTTTTGAATAATTCAAATCCAATGATCCGTGCTCTCGAAATCGTCGACAAAAAATTGTATCCGCACATACATACATATATACATCATTTTTCTCTAAGATTTGCGAAAATTTTCAGAAACCTTTGATACGTAAAGATATACGAAAATTTTCATTTCGGATTTTTTGCAATTACTATAATTTACTCTACGGGTAGTTAATAAATAATTCATATTTGGCAAAGATCAAAATATATAGAAATATCTTATGAAATAAAATAAAAAATATTCAAATAAACATACTTTATTTGAAAACTTACAAATACATTTAAATTATTAAAGTTATTCCTCATCTCGTTCCATTACCTTAATTTTAACCACAGTGTTAACCATCTCCAATTGGTCATGCCTTTTTATATATAGAATTCATTAATAAATTTCAATTATTCTTTCAAAATTCCATCATCACCAACGGTTGTAGCAATATCACGAAGTGCTGGAACATTTTTCACGACATTTAGGAACTCCTTAATATTGCAACAAGTGGTTTGTCCAATTTCTGCATTTTTGTAGTTATCATTAAGTTTTAGATTCTCAGCCCAAGCTAGATCTTCGCAAACATTTCTACACATATTGGTTGTGGAACCTTCTAAATCGTTTCTGATGATAAAGGCAACAGCTTTTTGGGATTCCCTTTCGTAGACAACTGCCCAGTAATATTCAGGAATTGGGAAGGATCTCTGAGTTCTTCTTGTTTTTAGATATAAATCTGTTAGTTTTCCTTTACTGTTTGTTAGTTGTGCAGGTGTTTGGGAAACTCCAGAGTATACTTCCAAAGTTCGTTGATGTTTTCTCAATTTCCTAATATCCTGTACCAAGTTTTCGAAGTTACCATATAGAACATTGTCCCAAAGGGTTATAAGATTATGTGCTCGTCTACTGACATCCTTGAATTGTGCGTGCAAATGCTCCTTGGGGATAAGGGATACAGTATACAAAACATTTTCACGTCTTACATGACCTTCTCCTAAAAGTTTAGTGACTACTTTATTGATCTCGTCTGATCGATATACTGATAAAATATCGACTGCTGACATATATGGCGCAGGATCCAAATCCTCATTTTCGAGGAATTGTGGTGGTAAAGCCACTTTATAATGAGAATAAACAGGTATATTGCGATCTATATCATAACAAGTTTCCGCCACTGTGGACAAATCTTGAGAGCCTGGTTTGTGAAATTGATATTTAGCCAAACTGCCGCTACATTTCGTGGACAAAACAGGCTTTAGTTCCAAAACACGAAGTTGGCAAGATATTTCCGAAGGCTGAACAGAATCATTAAAATTAATACTTTCAAATTTTTTTAAAAAAATCAATTATCTATTACCTCTACACTTTGTCCATTTTCATCCACCAGCTGACCATTTCTACAATGGGCAATCACACTGTGAATGGTTTCGTCTGTGATTTCATGTTGTTTGCATGTGAAAATCACGCTATTTCCTGAAGGAACTTTGTAAGCACCTTCGTGATTTTCCAAAAGTAATTCCGTTTCGTCGGCATTGTAAAGTAAAGGTCGGAAAGCGGCTCCTTTTTGTGGGAAAACTATGCTACATTTTTCTGAAAGAGAAGAAACAATTTGAAATAAGATAAAGGTCGGAAGGCAGTGGAAAAACGAAGTTGAAAATCAAAATTTGGGTTTGCGAAAATTTTTGCTTGCTAATTTAATATAGAACATAAAGAAACAGATCAGAAACAGCAGTTGTGAAAAATTGTGCGAATTTTCCTAAACAGCGTTATTAACACTCCAAGGACAGATTTTGTACTAATATTAAAAATACCAAAGTAAATAATGATTAAAGAAAGTTATCCAAGAACTTTGTTGTTTTTCAGCAAATATGATAAAATTAATAAAGACAGTTATCCAAGAGCCTTAGAGTTATCTATCAAATGGTCAAAAATAATAAAATTAATAAAGAAAATTATCCAAGGGCATTTGCGTCATCCGAAAAATAGCAAAGAAAAAAAGTTTATTTATCGAATTCAGGGGCTAATTTTCGGATAAAATATAAATGTTATGGTAATGCTATGTTGCGGGTCTATTTTCGTATGAATTGGTAGTAACACACCATCAAAAATCTATGTATTTGCTGTTCGATCAGATGTTTTACACATAAAACATAACCTGCAAAACGCACAACGTTAAATAACTATTTTATCATAATGTTTTTTTTAAGTAAAATTTTTTTAAGCGCAACTAGGGTGTAAATCTGTGAGCATGCAACGAAAATAATGCTCTCGGTGAATTTCTATACGGTTCGATTGTGATTATTCGTCGTATATGTGAATAGAGATCTGTCGTTGTATGCGTGCCGGCATCAACGTTGTATGCGTTCCGATATCAACAAATAAATTGGCATAGATAAATAAACATTTAAAGTTACATCGTACTATGAATCTTGATTTAATGAAAAATGCCTGAATCAGAAAAACATTTTACCCTGTTCCTCGTAAATAGTTATAATGAAAATAATAAAACATATGAAACATTTGTGCCGTGTACTAAACGTAAGTTTATTGAAATAATTTCTATATTATTCGTAGTTTCTATAAATCTTTGAAGTTATTAAAATGGAAAATATTTTTTAGACAAGACAGATATTGCAGCTGTTCAAAGAATGAGATTATATCGCCAGCAAAAAAATAAAAAAATACAAGCAGTCAATGAATGTATGTTAATTTTAATTACATAAAGTTCTTCAAACACAATTATTACATGATGAGTGAAATTGTGAAAACAATATTTGTTTAGGCGTTGTTTAACATAATTCACTGTGTGAACGAATATTATAGAATTTATTAATCAGAAATTACTTTATTTCTCTATTGAAGGTTCAAGTCGTAAATGCTAATTACAATGACAAACCGATCATGTCGAATTTGAAGTATGACTTTAATTGCATTATTGTTCTCAAATATTATAAATATGTTTAATGCTATGCTCCTGAATGTATATTTCTCGAAAATAGATTTTGTTATAAATATAAAAATACTGTAGAATATTAAGATTTGTTAAATTGTTCTTGAGTTTGACGGTAAATCTTTATTGAACTTTACTGAAATGATTTTTATTCATTAACCACGGTTAAATTTAATTGATTGCCGACTTATTGCGAAGCATTATAGTAGTACATTAAATATTCCCATTAAAAACATATCATTTATTATTATTACATACCCTCTGCAAAAGTTGTTCCAACCAAAAGAGCAGAGCAAACTAATATACACACTGAATTCATTTTGTAGACTGTTATGATTTCTGGTCGAGAGCAATAATTTATAATACTGTCTTTGAGATAAGAAGATGAAATTATTGGAAATTATAATTCATAATAACAAAATAGGCGTAGTTATATCCCAGAAGTGATATTCTTCGAGGAAATGGAGGAATTTTGGGTAAATTCGGTCTTAAGTTAGACTTTTGTCTATGGTTTCCATCCCAGATAAATTTACTATCTGTGGAAAATAAATATAAAACGTAACAGTGGTTAAAATTACTCATATTTGAGTAAAAAAATTTTTTTTGAAATTTTGTACTCCAAATAAACATCTATTTTATATCTCAAAAGTAGTTATCATTCTCAATTTTTTCTATATCTATCAAAATTTACCCAAAAATGTTTCAATGTTTCCATATTTTCATATGACAAATTAGATTTATAAATATGAGACATTTAATTTAGGAGGATGTGGAATAAAATAGTGGTGTATAAAGCAAATTTCTGGAAATTACCAAGGTGGAATTGCTAGATGAATATTATGGCAATATCTTCTTTGAGATATTTTTTAAGAACTAAGTTTTTGGATACGTAAATTGCCCACGAAAAATTTACCTATTCAAAAATTTTGTTGAGTTGCCATAATATTCATCTAACAATTCCATCTTGAAAAATTCCAGGAATTTCTTTCATACACCACTAGTTTTTTCCACATCCTCCCAAATTGAATGTCTCATATTTATGAATCTAATTTGCGCACATATTACCCACATACAATATTGAGTGTGGGTAATTGCAAAATTAAACTGAGTCACCATAATTCTCAAGAAACCAACAAGTGATTCAAATGGCCATCTTAAAATAGAAAATCTAAATTTATTTGGATGAATACCATTGCGATATATCTCAAAATAATAATAATAAAATAATAGAAATAATAATCAAAGGACTAATTGACTTTAATTAATAATTAAAGGACTTGATTTGAATTTGGCCTATTTGTCTAATAAAAAAAATTAAAATAAAAACATATTTTACTGATTGAACGTTCGTCACTTGATGTGTGTCATCATTCAGCCATCAAACCAGGACAAAAACAAAAACTTAAAACATTAGCAGCAATTGTTTAAATTTTTTTGAACTTAATAAGCAAAACAACATGTACCTAATAAAATTGAAGCCTTAAATTAAAAAGAGAGCAGGGGTAAAAAGATCCATTCATCACGTGGCTGAATGATGACACACATCAAGTATCGAAACGTATAGTCAATAAAATTATTTTTTAACCTTTTTACAATTTTAAATAAATTTCTAAATCATGAACATCCTTTAAAGTGCAGAGAACTTGAGGTCAAAAGTTATCTGTCGACCAAACATTTCATGTTTAATAAATGTATATCTACATTTTTTCAGAGCTCATTTGTTTACATTTCATGTAATTATTGTTTGTTTCATTTCTAGTATTATGTTTAAGTGTGAAAATGGTAACCAGATTTTTTTTAGTGTTATCTTAGAATTAGATAGGAAGAATACCGCAGAAATATGAAATAAAAATTTAAATTTATTTATTTGTACGTGGCGGAAGTTACGAGAGCTTCAGCTTTGCTTTTAGTTGCATTTCGCGCTATGTACAACCTAATATCAAGCAGTATAATGTTTGTGGGATAGTACTGATATTATAATCTTTTAATTAGAAACTCCACATAAAAAATTATCAAATTTTATTGACTATAAAATATTCGATATCAAAAATATACATGACATGTCCCATTGTTTTTTACAAATCAAAACACAGCCTGCTTGATATCGCCACACCTCCGCCCAGTGTTGATCTCACAGTTAAAAAAAAATACAGGGAAACACGTTATAAAAATGTGGTGTGGAAAGCAGATTTAGCAGACCAGTGTTGGTAATACTGGTCAATTCCAAATTTCCATGTTCGTCAGCAGATCCACCGTAATGTGGTGATTTGACCTGCCATCAACTCCAATTCTGCATAAGTTCTCGATCTATGGGTATTAGTTATATCAGAATAACTTAATGTTTAGAATGCATATTTATGGGTACAGTTTCCATTTCTGCAATCGTTGCATACGTATCTGATGAGTTCCGATCAGAGAAAGAAGTTGGCCTTTATCCAAATCAGAATCAGTGGTTCGTTGACATAAGAGTCCAGAATTGTGAATCCAATAAATTATGTCAAATTTTGTTTTGATTCGTCGTTGTCACCGATAAAGGGAGTGCATTATAGACGATTTGTTGAGTTAACAGAGAAAGAGAGGTTGATTGGCATTCCAATGAAGTTCAGGCTCCAAATTATTTTTTCTGTCAGCAATAAACACTGAGGTCTGGTAACCAAATGAGTAACCTCGGAAGTCTGATCCAGATAGTAAGTGCGTTAACTATGAATGGATTGGACTGGACATACCTTATAGGTCGTCACTGAAGACCAGTGATTATGGTGCTGCGTCAAAATCAATTTTTCTTAAATCTTCGAAAATAAACTCCTTTATCTTCTCTCCATCGTCGTGAGCACCAATGTGGGAGTAGTAATGATATTATAATATATTAATTAGAAACTCCCAACATAAAAAAATATATCAAATTTATTGACTATATGTTCATTTTCAAAGATAGATAAAGTTCTACAAGATTATATTTTTCTGAGCTGTCTAATGTAAATTTAAACTTTTCAGAGCTATGCAACATGCAGGAGAATGGTATAAACAGAATCGTCAGTTGAAAAGACAAAGTGCAGTCCTAGTCCAGAAATATCTCCAAATCAAACCAAATGGATCCCTAGATATAGACATAGATGGTTCTACAGATACAACAGGTAAAATACGGAACTTAATATTATCAATAACATTTTATTTAACTCCACAATTTCCTTTAGATGGTCATGACGATTTGGAAGCTTTGAGGAAAACAGTGACTGATATGAGTTTAGAAATAGCAACTTTACAACTGAACTAAATAATGCAAAACTTCAGGAGTTTGAAGCAACTGAACAGTGTGTTAATTTAACACAGGTAATAAAAGACAATTGAAATTATTTATATGTGCACAAATCATCATGGTTGTCTTAATTGAATTTTGACCAACACTCTTTAAAAGAAGGTCTTTACAAAGTCGACCAATTTCGAAAATTTTGAATTCACAGTTTAACAAAAAGTCTTAATTCTTGAAAACATGGGTTAATATTTTGGGCTGTGTTTCTAGAAATATTTACAATTACGGATCCAAAGCTTAAAAATGAACAAAATTAATTAGAATTAACCATAATAACCGAAAAGTGGTCACATTTTCACTATTGCTCTTATTTGCACCTAAAAGCCTATAATTTTCAAACCATGTTAGATAATTGTTTCTCTAATTACAATTAATATCACCCCGTTTCGGCTTGACGTTGAATTCTGGGACATCCTATATATATTTATATTAATTGTTTATCTAAATACATTATCTTTTCAGGAATTAGAACAAGAAAAGAAATTAAGAGCTCAATGTAACATCGAATTGGAAAGTTTAAGGCAATCCAGAGATCATTTTGCAAAAGTTTCAAAATTAGTCGCAGATGAAGTAAGCGTTTTGCGTAAAAATGCCGAAAAGTAAGTTTATGAATCATTTTCAACATACTAAAAATCACAATATTTATTTCAACATTTCACTAAAGTTATGCATACTAACACTCCAAGTCAGTAGAGTAGGGCGGGGCTAGTTGAGCAAATTTTCACTTAAACGGATGTAGCATCTCAATGAAAAGTCTCAAAAAATTGTTATACGGCTTAATGGATTTGTTGTTTATCGCTTAACAAAAGTGTTAATACTATTTTTTGGTAATAAATAAAATTTAAAAGCTACAGCTGTTTGAATGCAAAAAGCACTAAGAAAGTATAATAAAATCATAGGTTCAATGTCGTTTAGTGATGAAATAAAATAAGTTTTTAATAACCAGTTCAATATTTATAGTCTTTATTGACATAAAAAACAATACTTATAGTAATTTGCTTTGAATAATTAACGAAAAGTAGAATCAACTGAACAATATCGTATCTTAGGAATTATTTTACCATTATATTCATTATTTTTGTTTAAAATCATTATTTCTTTATATTATTACTCATAGACTTAGCTTAAATCTTAAAAATAATAATCAATTTCTGGAAGTTAATAATAGTTGTCTTAGTGACAGAACAAGTTTAGCAACTATGCTCAACTAACCCCAACTCGGAATTTCGAAATAAAAGTGAGTTTATAAAAAACCGTGAGAATTATAGCCAGAATCTCTGTGCATATTAAAAGTACTATAATTATATTGAAGAATAACATTTACCTGATTAAAAATAAATAACATTTGACTAAACCAGACGAAAACTCGTGATGAATTACGTTTTTACTTTTTGGTCTCAAAATAAACAAAACGCCCGTGAGCCTCACTCATTTGTCCAGCGGCCACTAGCGATCGCGGGATATTTATTTCTCCCAAATCTCTATATTTCCGCCATATGATGCCTAAACGGACGGTGAATAGTTTTCGAGATATTTCGATTGCTCAACTTGCCCCTATGCTCAACTAGCCCCGCTCTACCCTATTGTCGACATGAAGAAAATTCCAAAAAAATTGGAGACATAAAAGAATAAGTTTCAAATATTTCCTTGAAATTCCTGAACTTGTTATTACATAAATTATATTTATTTTCTAATTTTATATTCAGAGAACGTGAGCAAGCTGAAACTATGATAGACGAAGCCAAAAAAGCAATCAGGGAAAGAGATGTTTTAGCAAGACAAAGTGCTTTGCTCATACAAGATTATAAACATGATGGAGAAGAAGGCAGGATACTTAAATTATTGCAGGAGGTACAAACATAATTATATTTGAAAAATTATTTTTATGATTATCGAGCAACTGTGTACTCGTAGTCCAAATAATCTGGTATTCGAGATAGACAGATAACTCAAATAATTAACATAGTTAGAGATTTTAGTTCACGATTCCTTGAAACCAATTACTATCTATTTTTACAAAATATACAGATTCAGACATTCATTTTTGAATGGCGATGAAAACTATTAAAAAGTAGGCCATAATTATGCTCACAGAGTACATCAGAAATAGTGTCATTTTCCTTAATTTGATTTAATCATGATTGATATGATTATATCTTATAATTGATATTATTTTATGACTATTATATTTTTACCCAGGTTGGTGAGCTCAAAACAATGCTCGAAATGGAACGAAATGACCATCAAAGTCAAGTAGCAGATTTGCTGGTGAGCATCTCTTTACTAAAATTTATTTAACTAATATTTAAATAAAAATTTGTACAAAGGTGTAGGTATTGTACAAAAGCATTATAAATGCAATGTATTACTAAGCATGGCCTATATATATTAAGCCATAATTATTGATCTATATTGCATGATTATTATTATTTGTATATTTAGTAATTTCAGGCTATTTGCTTTTAGCTATAATTTGTATGCACTCACAAAATGATATGAATGGGGGATTTGGTTTCTGTAATTCAAATCTGTTGTATAAATATTACTATATCTTATATAATTATTATTTGTATATACCAATATTGAAATCGAATCGTATTATTATACCATTATGTTTGAATAAATAATGCAACGGAATGTAAAATTTTGGATTCACATAACGAGAAAACATATGGATAATGCAACGATAAAAATGCTCAAAAACAGAACAACGAATTAATTTCACATATATGTTTCAATCGTCAGATAAGTGCTCATGATCAAATTATTTTTTAAGTATTGCTACATGCATCGCATAATATTTAATGTATAATGCAATCTTTTGAGGATATGATTTATTTGTAAAAATGCAGCAATTAATATAAATTCATTAAAAATACTATAGCATTTTATGCTCTGATGTCTAGAAATGTACCTCATATTTTATTTTTTCAAAATATCCTTTTCGTTATCAGATTTAAAATCAAACGTATCTAATCCACTTTTCCTTTTCCTTTTTTTTTTTTTGAGGCAATTTCTGTTGGCGAAAATATGATTGCATTATATGCACTGTTTTCTAATCATTAATGTCGTATTTAATTTTTACAAAATATCTTGTTTTTAGATTTGCTATAAAATCTCCTTCCTTTCACATTTTTATTGACCTTATTTTTAAGATACATCAAATATATTATTGCATTACCCATATACATTAAATGAAAATGTTTGGAAAAATGAACTCACTTTTTAATTACAATATTTAATTGTCGTGCTTAGTGAAAGAAGCACAGTAAGTTGTAAAACATTTTCACTAACAAGAAAGAAGAATAAATAGTGTTGCCATGACAACGCTATTTTAGGAGCTCTATTACACCAGAATTGCCCCATTAATAGAAGTTCAAATGTCGATACATACATTATTTTAAGCTGATAAAGCGTGCATGAATGCGAAGAAAAAATCATTAATGATTCAATGGTTTCCCAGTAAATTTTTCAGAAATATAAGAAAATAATTTATTATGATACGATTTTTTAAACTTTGCGTAAAATATTGCCTCCAAATACATATAAAATTTTCTCTCCGAACCAAATCCCCATCGCATCATTTTGTGGGAAGCTTCCAATAACATCTTGGCGCATCTCATACGATATGTAACCGCCCGAATTTCAGGAAAAATTGGAGGACAAAAGTATAGACCCCCAAATCGAAGTGTTAGAAGCCAAACTAAAAATAACCGAACACGAACTAAACGTCGCCATAGAACGTGCCGAACGTGCTGAAAGCGAATTACAAAACACTCTTTCCGAAAACAACGGAAGTATGCAGACGGATAATGATGTTTTCGGAAATGGCGAAGAGGGAGTTGTTATGAGGAGGAAAATGACAAACGGAAATCAAATAGTTATGCCTCCTCCGCCTCCGCCGCCGCCGGTGCCGAATTTGAATCTTGGCGCCAATAAAACGGAAATCAAAATCAAGACGCAGGCAAGCGCTGTTGCGGAAATGGCTGCCATGCTGGATATCAAACCAGTAAACGATACTCCGGCAAAAACAAAAAATGATAATGGAGGTATATACGAAAATAATATATACAAACATTTTTTCTTGGGGTTATTCAATTTAAGAAAAAAAAACATGCGTTCGAATGAAATTAGTCTGGCAGGGTACCTGATTCAGTCTAAATCGGTTCAGAATATTTTCTTACTTTAATTCCTTGTAAATGTTGTTATGATAAAAATATTTTATGCAAAATAAGACCTACAACGATTAAGTAAAAAAGGTAAATATAAGCATGCAAAACTTATTTTATACCACGTACATAAAGCATGTTTATATTGCTGTGCTATCATTATTGCTAGCGGCTTTGTAAAATTGATTTAGCAAATAAAATGATATTAGGTCCTTTTAAAATTATTATATTATATAAAGTTTATTACAATGCATGCAATTTATATATTAAGCAGCTGTCCCAAAAAATATATGTTTAATTTTTTCTATCGGTGGAGTCTTGTAATATCAAGAAAGGTAAAACAAACAAAATGGATATACCCAGTATACCTAAACATTATAATTATTTTTTTCATAAAATCTTAATAATTTAAAATGCAAACTTTATGATAGCACGTAGCCACAAATTTATAAAAATTGTAGCAAGTTTTTGGGTTAAATTAGGTAGTGTCCGATAATTATTTACCTATCACAAAAAACCACAAACATCATGAAAAAGAAAATTGATAAAGCGAAGGTACAAAAATGCTTTCTATTTGTTACAATTTATATGAAAAATCACAATTAGCATTTCAATCAATTATCAAAGTAATTATTACTGGAAAACTCATTTTTTTCAAAAATAAACTAAACTTTTCTTTTTTGCGCAAGGGCTATATGGTAATAATAATTTGTATCACTGTAAATAATTAAAATATATTAACTAAATATTTAATAATTTCATATATTTATTATTTATTTAATCGGTGATGGAATACTAATAAATATTTGATATCGAACTGATCAACAAACCCTAAAAATTCTTACATTTTTAAGTTGCTCTTCGAAAAAAAAATTGTACACATTTTTGTCTAAATCTTAGAGTAATTATTGTATTTTTTTATCCAGGAATTATAGATGCCATCGTGGATCAAATAAAAGGCGGTAGATTTAGACTGAAATCAACCGATGTGCAAAATAAGTCAAAAACCAAAAAAGAAGAACCTGCTGCCGTTAAAGAAATGTTAAACATTTTGGGAACATTGAGGAGGACCAGGGGGAAGAGGTCAAGTATGAATACAGGAATGCGCTAATTAATGAACAAATATTTTTAGAATATATTATATCCTTAATTCTATGGAACAGAATAAATCTGTAATTATCTGCTTAATTATAAATTATGTATAGCCATTTGTTGGTGATAAAACAATGCAACTAATTTTCTAATTACACACAATAAAATAAGTTGAGTGTTTTGCATATTAAAAACATATTATGCATGTAAAATCTTACTGCACTCAGAAGTACCGAATAAGTTTTCAATATCAGTTGCATAATATGAACAAAATGGTGCTAATGTTAAAAAATTGGATATGATTTTAAAAAAAATAGACTTATAGATGACTAATAATCATAAATTATTAGAAATATCGAATAGTTTACTGAAACTATGGATTACGAATATATCCTTCTAAAAATTTTAGTAAATAGTGCAAAATGAACGTTTTTGAGGTCTTGAAGTCTCAAGTTTGTATGTAAATATCAATTTAGTTTAAGATTGATTTAGATTAGATTTTGATAAGATATTTTATAACGCCAGTCACACAATAATATGTATTATTTAATAATATGTATTGTTTAAGTATAAACATTTTTCAAAATTATATTCATCAATTACATATTATCACATGTAAATTATGATTAGATAGTTTAAAAAGTCTATTAACTATTAGAATATTATATGATTAGGTTTATAAGAAAGTTTATGAAATAATTGTTAAAAAATGATTGAATAAAATCATGAATTCTGTAATAAGATATATATTATGTAAAATAAACTTAATGAGATACATTTATAGTGTTTTATATAGAAAAAGAATCACATTGTTACAACTACAGTTCAGTTAAACGTAGATATCAAAATGGATAATACATATGCTTATAATATATCACACATGATGCTATATTTTTGGCAGATATATATGAATTGGTTAATGCAAGTGATATGTAAAAACACATTTTAGTTGTTACTACTAAATTATGTTTGAGAGAAGTCGAAGATTTAATTGATTTCAAGGTAATATTTTGTTTAATAATCAAGGTAAATATTTTGTTTATAATTCCAAATTTCAAATTTATATTTAGTTTATTTCACTGATGTTGGCACCATTGTCACAAGAAGTGACAGTTTTCCAAATTGCTCGCTGACTTTGTCTACTCAGGCAATACTACTTTAGTATTTAATTTTAATATAAACAATCGTAGGCACGTGTGCAATCTTTGTGATATTTAATTAAATATTAATAAACTAATTAACGATGTCGAATAAAAAACCAGCGCTAATGAATGATCCTAATAATATGAGTGATGAATCCGATAGCTCAGATGAAGGTTCTGATCAAGAGGTTTATTCTGGGCATGAGGTATCTTGACTGATAACCTAAAATGTTCATATATTATCTATGTTTCATTATATGTTACTGCCTTTAATTGCTTAAAATCATTATGAGTTATAGATAAATTCAAATTAGTAATTTTGGACTTTGAAATGTTATTTCATTTTATTTAATGAACCGGCGTTTTGACTGTCATGTGCCAATCAATGTTGCATAGGGTTGTGAAATTAAACATTTTTGGATTAACAGGATAATCTGAATAATATAACTGAGATAAAATGAGAAGTTCATATTATTTTCATTTGAATACAATTAACATGCATATAAGACTTTTGTTATGAATTATCACTTTATTAGTTCATGTTTTATTTATGCAGGAAATTCAAGTAGACTTTGAGGGTCGAAATCCTACCGATAGTGACTTTCATGGAATAAAGCAGCTTCTGAATCAATTATTTTTGAAAGCTCATATTAATCTATCAGAATTATCGGATCTGTTAATTGGTAAGTTATAGCTTGTAATATCTTGTAAATTACATGAAATATGTAATTATAAGATTAGATTGTGAGATGAAATTTTTGCAATATGGCACAGGAATGTTATTATCATAACATGGTTGTCTTAGCAAGTTTGTTTATTTAGTTTTATTATTTGAAATATTTGATTTGTTTGTTTTCTTATTCCAGGTCAAAATTACATTGGTAGTGTTGTTAAACAAAGTGACGCAGACCCTGATGAAGATGAAGATGATGAAATGACTGATATAAATGATGTTTTTGGTATAACGAGTGTAATTAATATTACCCAGAAAAAGGTAAGTGACTGCATAATTATGATTCAATCATTTTAGTTACTGTAATTCAGATTGCTTATATATGTTTATTTGCTTATTATCATATGCTTTGGATTGATGACAAAATTTCATTGCATGTTTTATTCATAAATTAATTATATTAACTATTTCATCATTCTCTAAATATTATTACAGGAAAGTCATTTCCTAGTATTATTATATGTAAAAGTACCATGAATTCACTTATTACTTCTCTCTTCAATTATTCTTACATTAACTTTATATACATACCTAAATACCTATTTTATTACCAAATGGCACACCAAATTCAATTTTTATATCTAATTTATAAATTGAGTGCAAAGATAAACTTTTTTTATTTGTATCATTTAAAAGAACATGTGCGACAATGAAGTGAAATGTGTTTCTGCATGAACCTTATATAATTGCAATATTTAACAAAAGTAATTATATTTATTTATTCATAATCAGTGTATCAAAAATCAAGAAATTAAAATTATCATGAATCATTAGTCATTCTCATGTAAGTATTGGATCTTTCAATCATGAATATTTTACAGAATTTAGAATGTGTTCAACAATTACGCAAACTTCTTGTTGAGCTTGCAGAACAAAATGCAACGGATACAACTAACAAACTAATTCAAGACATCCTTAACGATGAAGAAAATTGCACCGGACTTCTGATAAACGAGCGTTTCATAAACATTCCTGCACAGATTTCAGTGCCACTCTTAGAGAATCTGCAAAGCGAAATCAACAGGGCAGTGTCAAAGAAAATGCCATATAAATTTGTATATTACATTTTGATATGTAAATTATACAAAAATGAGCAAACTAAAAAGAAAAAGTCAAAGAAATCTGAACCTGATGTGATTTGGTCAAATCCTGAGGAGGAATACATTCTTCCTGAAGCCTTAGCTAGTTTTGAGTTTTCAGTAAAATCAGAAGCCGATTCTGGTTTAGGAGGCGATTGGAAAGAAGGAGACAGTGAAATGACACCATACAGAAAAATTATGATTTTGCGAGCTGATAGCTTACCGAGGATAATTGAAACTATTAAAACACAAATGAGTGGCACAGCCTAAGCATTTCCAATCATATAATAGATTACATTTATATAATATGTAATCCTTTTGAGATACATAGTTTACTCATAGGCGATTGTTATTTATCAAAGAGTGTAAAGAAGCAGGTGACACGTTTTGTACACATTTCTGCAGATATTCATTTGCAACTATTGAACTCTTTGTTGATCACATTTTCAATTTTTAGGAAAGTTCACTTTCCTAATTTATGATGAAAATATTGATGATAGAAATGAGGATATGAAAAAAACAATCTCAAAAGGATTAAACATAAATCAGATAGTTTGAGGAAAGTAGCATTCATATTTTATATTTTGTTCACAACTTATATTGAAATCACATCCCTAATATAGCATACTGTAATCTAATAGAATCTTTTCATATAAATATATCTCAAAGTACGATTTCATTACTTTCAGTAATCAGTTGTCAACCTTTTTCTTTTTCTTAATCTCTCTTATTATCTGATTTTTGTTATTTATATGTGCATTAACCAATTCTTATATATCTGCCAAAAATATAGCATTATGTGTGATATATTAAGCATGTGTATTAGCCATTTTGATATCTACGTATAACTAAAATGTAGTTGTAATAATGTGATTGTTTTTCTATATAAAACACTATAAATGTGTCTCATTAAATTTATTTTACATAATATATATCTTATTACAGAATTCATGATTTTATTCAATCATTGCAATTATATAAAACATTTTTTTAACAATTATTTCATAAACTTTCTTATAAAACTAATCATATAATATATTCTAATAGTTAATAGACTAAAACTGTAAGTTAAAAACAAACATGGAATAAACCTGAAACAGCAAATCCAATCCACGATCGAAATAATAAACACTTATTGCACTCAAATGTTTGATTCGAATTTGAATTTTGCTGGCACAATTTTGTTTAATAATAATTTATGCGAAAATATACCTGTTTTACATTATTTTTAAGATTTCCACCATTAGTTCATTGAAAAACGACTGCCACATAGTGAAAGATATCAAGATTATATTAACAAGAATTTCATTGTATCCATTTGCATCCTTTTTTAGACCATGAATAAAACTCATATTTAAAGCAAATAATTTAATGCACTGAGCTATTTTATTTGGCAATTTTAGATTTAATCCAATCGACATAGTGAGAAACTCTTGTGAATACATCAGGCTTGCCGACAGCGCAAGGAATGCCCCAGGAAACGATTCCGTGAAGTTGTCCATTGATGACTAAGGGGCCACCGGAATCACCCTTTTCGAAAAATATTCAATTAATAACTATTTTTTTTAAATAATATATAATTAATAATTTTAATAAGAATATAACCGAAAAATATGAGAAAACTTTTACTGTATATTTTTTGTAAGACTTACCTTACATGCACCCTTGCCCATATCTGCAAAAGTGCATATTTGGCTATCGTGGATTGGAATCTTATCCTCATTAAACATTCTTCTGCAAACACTTTGGGGGATGGTAAATGTATTTAATTCCTAAAATATAAATTATTAGAAAGTGAAACATTACAAGACAGAATGGTAACTCTGAAAATTCATATTATCTACCTGTAAATCATTAGGTGGCGGTGAATCTTTTCCCAATCGTCCCCATCCAGTCAAACGAGCATCCTCTCCGCCTCCGATATATTTATCTTCAAATGGAATTTTTTGCACTTTATCGCTGAATTTTATTTTATTCCGAAGTTTTACAAGTGCCAAATCATTTGCGGCAGTTTGTTCATCAAACTTGTCAGTAATAGTTTTTTCTATTCTATATCGTTCACCTACTTCATCCAGTTTATTCACGCCGGCAACGACTTCAAAACGTTGTCTGAAAATTGAAATGCAATCAGACTTGAAATGAAAATTTATGGGCAAAATAGTCATGATTTATAAAAATACGAAATTACATATTTTAGGATATTTGTTTCCTCTAACTACTACACATATTTTTTTCTATTTTTCTATTTATGGTACAAGATATATTACAAATTCACCCCATGCAATGAGCAGCAGTCAAAACCCAATAATCGTCAATAATTGCTCCTCCACAGAAATGTTTGTTTTCAGCATTTCGAAGTGAAACTTGATAGGGCACCGATTTTTCTTTAGCATTTTCACCACCCACGATTCTCCAGCCGATTGAAGACGCTGGGGAAAAAATATGTAAATTTGGTTCAATGCATAGGATACAATTTTATGTACTATTTTGTAGTTGATAAATAAAGTTAAAGGAATATAAAAATTAATTTCTTTACCTGATGCGAATTCAATGACTGCTAAAACGATCAGTACCTTCATGACTTCACTGCAGTTTCTACACTTAAACTGATAGCGCATTTAATTCAATTTTATATTTAATTTAACGATAATAATTGAGATAAGTTCCACTTATATTATCTAACAAATAGGTAAATCCCATATAACTCTCATTTGAAATGAAATTTTATCATAAAATATTTTTTGGTTCCTGGTCAAAAGTTCAAAGGTGAATCAAATGGAAATTTCTTCGATAATGTAAGATTTAAATTATAAAAGAATTGTTTAGATTATTTTTAAAAGGAAATAGAAAAATGAGTATTATCGAAAAAAAAAGTTGTATTAAATGTTATTCATAGGCAGCAATTTTTTATCAGAATACTAGCTGACCCGGCAAAAGTTGTTTTGCTAAATAAGGTATATTCTAGACAATTTCTAGAGAATCAAAAATATTAATACTTTAAGTGTATAAGGATGTGTTGTTTGAATGCTATATACAATGAAGTATTATAAAAACAATAAACCCCATTGGTTCCGGATAATCCGAAGTCCGGATAATCCAAAGTCCGGATAACACGAAGTCCGGATAATCCGAAGTCCGGATAATCCGAAGTCCGGATAATCCGAAGTCCGGATAATCCGAAGTCCGGATAATCCGAAGTCCGGATAATCCGAAGTCGGATAAACCGAAGTCGGGATAATCCGAAGTCGGATAATCCGAATTCCGGATAATCCGAATTCCGGATAATCGGAATTCCGGATAATCGGAATTCCGGATAATCGGAATTCCGGATAATCCGAATTCCGGATAATCCGAATTCCGGATAATCGGAATTCCGGATAATCGGAATTCCGGATAATCGGAATTCCGGATAATCGGAATTCCGGATAATCGGAATTCCGGATAATCGGAATTCCGGATAATCGAATTCCGGATAATCCGAATTCCGGATAATCCGAATTCCGGATAATCCGAATTCCGGATAATCGGAATTCCGGATAATCCGAATTCCGGATAATCGGAATTCCGGATAATCGGAATTCCGGATAATCGGAATTCCGGATAATCGGAATTCCGGATAATCGGAATTCCGGATAATCCGAATTCCGGATAATCCGAATTCCGGATAATCCGAATTCCGGATAATCCGAATTCCGGATAATCCGAATTCCGGATAATCCGAATTCCGGATAATCCGAATTCCGGATAATCGGAATTCCGGATAATCCGAATTCCGGATAATCGGAATTCCGGATAATCGGAATTCCGGATAATCGGAATTCCGGATAATCCGAATTCCGGATAATCGGAATTCCGGATAATCGGAATTCCGGATAATCCGAATTCCGGATAATCCGAATTCCGGATAATCGGAATTCCGGATAATCGGAATTCCGGATAATCGGAATTCCGGATAATCCGAATTCCGGATAATCCGAATTCCGGATAATCCGAATTCCGGATAATGGAATTCCGGATAATCCGAATTCCGGATAATCGAATTCCGGATAATCGGAATTCCGGATAATCGGAATTCCGGATAATCGGAATTCCGGATAATCGGAATTCCGGATAATCCGAATTCCGGATAATCGGAATTCCGGATAATCGGAATTCCGGATAATCGGAATTCCGGATAATCGGAATTCCGGATAATCGGAATTCCGGATAATCCGAATTCCGGATAATCCGAATTCGGATAATCCGAATTCCGATAATCGGAATTCCGGATAATCGGAATTCCGGATAATCCGAATTCCGGATAATCCGAATTCCGGATAATCCGAATTCCGGATAATCGGAATTCCGGATAATCCGAATTCCGGATAATCGGAATTCCGGATAATCGGAATTCCGGATAATCCGAATTCCGGATAATCCGAATTCCGGATAATCGAATTCCGGATAATCGGAATTCCGGATAATCCGAATTCCGGATAATCCGAATTCA